CACTACTATTACTATTATTAACAGCAAAAATATTAATGACAAGTATTAACAATAAGAAAAGTAATAATAAAAATAAAATAAAAATAAAATTAATTGTTATTATTACTATATAACAAAAAATAAACATAAATATATATATATAATAAAAAATACACATACACATATATATATTAGTAGTATACAAATCATATTATTAAGCATTATTGCTAATCATGATAAAATAATAATATTATTATTAATAACAACAATAATAAGCATAAAAAATAACACAAATAATATGTATTTATTATTATTATTCATCATCATAATAATATCATTATTATTTATAAGTATTATTTTTGTTATGATTAATACTTGTTATAACTGTTATCAATAATAGTTAACACTGTCACCCCCTTCCTGCCCACCGGGCACTGTCACCCCCTTCCTGCCCACCGGGCACTGTCACCCCCTTCCTGCCCACCGGGCACTGTCACCTCCTTTTTGCCACCAGGCATCGTCACCCCATTTTTGCCCACCAGGCATCGTCACCCCCTTCCTGCCCACCGGGCACTGTCACCGCCTTCCTGCCCACTGGGCATCGTCACCCCCTTCCTGCCCACAGGGCACTGTCACCCCCTTCCTGCCCACCGGGCACTGTCACCGCCTTCCTGCCCACCGGGCATCGTCACCCCCTTCCTGCCCACCAAGCGTCGTCACCCCATTCCTGCCCACCAAGCGTTTTCACCCCCTTCCTGCGCACCAGGCATTGTCACCCCCTTCCTACCCACCAAGCGTTGTCACCCCCTTCCTGCTCACCAAGCGTTGTCACCCCCTTCCTGCCCACCAAGCGTTGTCACCCCCTTCCTGCCCACCAGGCGTTGTCACCCCCTTCCTGCACACCAGGCATTGTCACCCCCTGCCTGCCCACTGGGCATTGTCACCCCCTTCCTGCCCACCAGGCATTGTCACCCCCTTCCTGCCCACCAGGCATTGTCACCCCCTTCTTGCCTACCGGGTACTTCTACCCCTTTCCTGCCCACCAAGCATTGTCACCCCCTTCCTGCCCACCAGGCATTGTCACCCCCTTCTTGCCTACCGGGTACTTCTACCCCTTTCCTGCCCACCAAGCATTGTCACCCCCTTCCTGCCTACAGGGCACTTCTACCCCCTAATGCCCACCAGGCACTGTCGCCCCCTTCCTGCCCACCAAGCATTGTCACCCCCTTCCTGCCCAGACCAATGTTCAGCTTTCAGCGCTGTCACACTTTGAATAACAATTACGCGGTCATGCAACACTGCACCCATATGAACGTTTTATCATTTTTTTCACACAGAGCTTTCTTTTGGTGGTATTTAATCACCGCTGAGTTTTTTATTTTTTGCTAAATCAAACAAAAAACACCTGAAACTTAAAAAAAAAAAAAAAAAAACAACAACGCACTTTTCTTCACTTTTGCAAATAAATAACATTTCTTCATAAATGTATGTCAAAATGCATTCTACTACATTTCTTTGGTGAAAAATAATAATAATTGCATTTGTATTTTTTTTTAATGTTTCTATTATTTTTTTTTTATTCCATTTTTTACTATTTTATTTTTCAGCGCACTGCGACTGGAGCAATACAACGTTACCATAGTAACACTGAACTACTCTGGGCGAGTGATCAGGATTTTTTTTTTATAACACATTATGATTGCTGATACCGATGTATTTCATTGATATTTGTAATCATTGTTACTGAATGAAACGGATTCATTCAGTCTTTTGTTGTGATTAGCTGTGATTGGGCAAAGCTGATCACATGATACAGATGGGCTGTGATTGGGCAAAGCTGATCACATGATACAGATGGGCTGTGATTGGGCAAAGCTGATCACATGATACAGATGGGCTGTGATTGGGCAAAGCTGATCACATGATACAGATGGGCTGTGATTGGGCAAAGCTGATCACATGATACAGATGGGCTGTGATTGGGCAAAGCTGATCACATGATACAGATGGGCTGTGATTGGCCCTGTCTGTGTCATGTGACTGCCTTGACCAGTCACTGCTAACAACATAATTGTATACAATGGATGGCATGACAAGAAGCCATCCATTGTATACAATGGACATGTGATCTGCTGTGATTGGTCACGGTGGTCACATGACGCTGGCAACGGGACGGTGTAGTGATATGTCATCGGCTGTGTCCGGTGACAGATTGCGCCGCTGCGTGGACCGTTTTGATAGGACGCCATATGGCGCCCAATCGATCTGCTATAGGCCGGGCGGGAAAGTGTTAAGGATCGAAGTTTTTCAGGAAAGTACCACATTAGGGTCACCAATGCCACTCGAAGGCAGGACACAGTGCCATTCATTGCTATGGCGGGGGCGGGCAGCATCTCCTGATGCTGATCCAAGGCAGGCAGCATGCAGGACCGCCCCCAGTCCTCCTCCTCCTGACCTGCTGCTCCTGACATAAATGAATGTTATCGTTCCGGTGGGTGGCCAGGGGGTGATAAAATCACAGCTCAGCCACCAGTTTTTACCTTCCTCCCCCCAGCCACCAAGTGAAAAAACCCTTCGAGGGGAAGTTCACCGACCTTTTGTAGCAGCTTCAGGACAAGAAGTGAAGTGAAATCTCCCCAACAAGTCCCAGACTGCAAAAAAAAAAATTCAGGCGCTACTTAAAAATTTATTTCACTTATTTCATCATCACATTTCGGCTTCGTACCGGAAATTGTTTTTCTGGAAGTTTTTATCAATCATCCGGTCTGGCTGTCTCTGCTCCCAGCAAGCACCTTGGGTTGGATAAATCTTCCCAACATTGATCTCCCGGTGAAGTATCACCGATGATCAATCTGGTGGAGCCTCACACTTGGTTCCCTTCCCCCGCCGCCTGTCCCCTGGAATATGGGCTGGGAGGTCCCTCTCTGCGCTCAGCTGACAACGGCACCATTAGTCCTGGATTCTGCCTTCGCCTGGCTTTGGCCCAGATGCATTACTCCGCGCTCCGAGCTTTACGCGCCGAATTCAGAGTCCTTCTGGTGTCTTCACACCACGAGTATCCAGTGCTCAGCATACATAAGGCCACCAACAAACCTGTCAGAAAACCTATCCTTCCAGAATCCACATCTTCTATGGGACACGATACTACAAAACTCCTCCCACAAATGCCGGACATTGATGGCACACAAGATTTGTTCATTTGCACACAAAAAAGTATTTTTCCTAACAAATTTATCCAAGACCATGTTGCAAAAATGAATACACCCCGATGAAAGTTACATTTTAGGCAACAAAATCCTAATGAACAAGAGTTCACCTCCAGGTGAGTCTAATTCATTAAACAGCAGACAGGTGATTATAAAAGGGGCGTTACTTAACAAAGAAAACCCCGCCCATTTCATGCTGTCAGCAATGGCACCACATGGAAGAGAAATGTCACATGGCCTGAGAAAGAAAATAATTTCTTTACACAGGAAAGGTGAAGGCTACAAGAAGATCAGCAAAGCTTTACTTATCAGTCAGAATACTGGAGCAAAAGTGATACAAAAATGGAACAAAGATGGAACTGCAACCATCTCACAGAGACGTCCAAGCCGTCCACAGAAGTGAATACCTCAATAGGAGCGTCTGCTGATGAGAAGGGTTGAAGAAAATCGCCATGCAAGTTCACTGCAGTTAGCTAGAGAAGTAGAAAGCCAAATTGGGGCGATTGTTTCCCATGACACAATACGGCGTACACTGCAGAGGAATGGTATGCATGGGTGTCATCCACGAAGGAAGTCTCTCCTAAAGCACATGCACAAAAATGCCGCCTAGAATTTGCCAGGAACCATGCTGAAAAAGAAGACGACTACTGGGACTACTGCGACTACTCCGGAGTGATGAGACCAAGATAAATGTTTTTGGAACTGATGGCTTCAAAACTGTATGGAGTCGCAAAGAATGCTCCTTACATTGGTGGTCAGTGGGAAGAATGTCCCTTACATTGGTGGTCAGTGGGAAGAATGTCCCTTACATTGGTGATCAGTGGGGAGAATGTCCCTTACATTGGTGATCAGTGGGAAGAATGTCCCTTACATTGGGGGTCAGCGGGAAGAATGTCCCTTACATTGGGGGTCAGCGGGAAGAATGTCCCTTACATTGGGGGTCAGCGGGAAGAATGTCCCTTACATTGGTGGTCAGCGGGAAGAATGTCCCTTACATTGGGGGTCAGTGGGAAGAATGTCCCTTACATTGGTGATCAGTGGGAAGAATGTCCCTTACATTGGTGATCAGTGGGAAGAATGTCCCTTACATTGGTGATCAGTGGGAAGAATGTCCCTTACATTGGAGGGTCAGTGGGAAGAATTTCCCTTACATTGGTGGTCAGTGGAAAGAATGTCCCTTACATTGGTGGTCAGTGGGAAGAATGTCCCTTACATTGGTGGTCAGTGGGAAGAATGTCCCTTACATTGGTGGTCAGTGGGAAGAATGTCCCTTACATTGGAGGTCAGTGGGAAGAATGTCCCTTACATTGGTGGTCAGTGGGAAGAATGTCCCTTACGTTGGGGATCAGTGGGAAGAATGTCCCTTACGTTGGGGGTCAGTGGGAAGAATGTCCCTTACGTTGGGGGTCAGTGGGAAGAATGTCCCTTACGTTGGGGGTCAGTGGGAAGAATGTCCCTTACATTGGAAGGTCAGTGGGAAGAATGTCCCTTACTTTGGGGGTCAGTGGGAAGAATGTCCCTTACATTGGGGGTCAGTGGGAAGAATGTCCCTTACGTTGGGGGTCAGTGGGAAGAATGTCCCTTACGTTGGGGGTCAGTGGGAAGAATGTCCCTTACGTTGGGAGTCAGTGAGAAGAATGTCCCTTACATTGGTGATCAGTGGGAAGAATGTCCCTTACATTGGAGGTCAGTGGGAAGAATGTCCCTTACATTGGGGGTCAGTGGGAAGAATGTCCCTTACATTGGGGATCAGTGGGAAGAATGTCCCTTACATTGGAGGTCAGTGGGAAGAATGTCCCTTACATTGGTGATCAGTGGGAAGAATGTCCCTTACATTGGGGGTCAGGGGGAAGAATGTCCCTTACATTGGGGGTCAGTTGGAAGAATGTTCCTTACATTGGGGGTCAGTGGGAAGAATGTCCCTTACATTGGGGGGGTCAGTGGGAAGAATGTCCCTTACATTGGGGGGGTCAGTGGGAAGAATGTCCCTTACATTGGGGGGGTCAGTGGGAAGAATGTCCCTTACATTGGGGGTCAGTGGGAAGAATGTCCCTTACATTGGTGATCAGTGGGAAGAATGTCCCTTACATTGGTGATCAGTGGGAAGAATGTCCCTTACATTGGGGGTCAGTGGGAAGAATGTCCCTTACATTGGTGGTCAGTGGGAAGAATGTCCCTTACATTGGGGGTCAGTGGGAAGAATGTCCTTTACATTGGGGGTCAGTGGGAAGAATGTCCCTTACATTGGTGATCAGTGGGAAGAATGTCCCTTACAATGGGGGTCAGTAGGAAGAATGTCCCTTACGTTGGGGGTCAGTAGGAAGAATGTCCCTTACATTGGTGGTCAGTGGGAAGAATGTCCCTTACATTGGTGGTCAGTGGGAAGAATGTCCCTTACATTGGGGGTCAGTGGGAAGAATGTCCCTTACATTGGTGATCAGTGGGAAGAATGTCCCTTACAATGGGGGTCAGTAGGAAGAATGTCCCTTACGTTGGGGGTCAGTAGGAAGAATGTCCCTTACATTGGGGGTCAGTGGGAAGAATGTCCTTTACATTGGGGGTCAGTGGGAAGAATGTCCCTTACATTGGTGATCAGTGGGAAGAATGTCCCTTACAATGGGGGTCAGTAGGAAGAATGTCCCTTACGTTGGGGGTCAGTAGGAAGAATGTCCCTTACATTGGTGGTCAGTGGGAAGAATGTCCCTTACATTGGTGGTCAGTGGGAAGAATGTCCCTTACATTGGGGGTCAGTGGGAAGAATGTCCCTTACATTGGTGATCAGTGGGAAGAATGTCCCTTACAATGGGGGTCAGTAGGAAGAATGTCCCTTACGTTGGGGGTCAGTAGGAAGAATGTCCCTTACATTGGGGGTCAGTGGGAAGAATGTCCCTTACATTGGTGATCAGTGGGAAGAATGTCCCTTACAATGGGGGTCAGTAGGAAGAATGTCCCTTACATTGGAGGTCAGTGGGAAGAATGTCCCTTACATTGGTGGTCAGTGGGAAGAATGTCCCTTACATTGGGGGTCAGTGGGAAGAATGTCCCTTACGTTGGTGGTCAGTGGGAAGAATGTCCCTTACGTTGGGGGTCAGTGAGAAGAATGTCCCTTACGTTGGTGGTCAGTGGGAAGAATGTCCCTTACGTTGGGGGTCAGTGGGAAGAATGTCCCTTACATTGGTGGTCAGTGGGAAGAATGTCCCTTACATTGGGGGTCAGTGGGAAGAATGTCCCTTACGTTGGTGGTCAGTGGGAAGAATGTCCCTTACGTTGGGGGTCAGTGGGAAGAATGTCCCTTACATTGGTGGTCAGTGGGAAGAATGTCCCTTACATTGGGGGTCAGTGGGAAGAATGTCCCTTACGTTGGTGGTCAGTGGGAAGAATGTCCCTTACGTTGGGGGTCAGTGAGAAGAATGTCCCTTACATTGGTGGTCAGTGGGAAGAATGTCCCTTACGTTGGGGGTCAGTGGGAAGAATGTCCCTTACATTGGGGGTCAGTGGGAAGAATGTCCCTTACATTGGAGGTCAGTGGGAAGAATGTCCCTTACATTGGGGGTCAGTGGGAAGAATGTCCCATACATTGGTGGTCAGTGGGAAGAATGTCCCTTACATTGGAGGTCAGTGGGAAGAATGTCCCTTACATTGGAGGTCAGTGGGAAGAATGTCCCTTACATTGGAGGTCAGTGGGAAGAATGTCCCTTACATTGGGGGTCAGTGGGAAGAATGTCCCTTACATTGGGGGTCAGTGGGAAGAATGTCCCTTACATTGGGGTCAGTGGGAAGAATGTCCCTTACATTGGGGGTCAGTGGGAAGAATTACTTCCTTACAGACAGCTAAAAAGTTCAGAAGCTGCAAATCACTATAGTAGTCACCGCTACTACACCTCTATTACACCAGTACAACAGCAATCACTGCTAGCTTCCAGGCTCCATACTGAGTGGCTGCCCTGCTGAAGTGTGCATATGGGAGGTCGCTCACATGGCTCAGGAGCCATTCAGGGAACACTTTGCACTTTCTTAATGAATGCAAACCACTGTCTGATTGGATCATTGAGATGATTGCCTGCTGGTCTGTGGGACTACCAAGTAACAGCTTTCCCAGCTGGCTGCTCTGTGGGACTACAAGTAACAGCTTGCCCAACCTGCTGGTCTGTCGGACTATAAGTAACAGCTTGCCTGGCTGGCTGCTCTGTGGGACTACAAGTAACAGCTTGCCCAACCTGTCGGTCTGTGGGACTACAAGTAACAGCTTGGCCAACCTGCCGGTCTGTGGGACTACAGGTAACAGCGTGCCCGGCTGGCTGCTCTGTGAGACTACAAGTAACAGCTTGGCCAACCTGCTGGTCTGTGGGACTACAAGTAACAGCGTGCCCGGCTGGCTGGTCTGTGGGACTACAAGTAACAGCGTGCCTGGCTGGCTGATCTGTGGGACTACAAGTAACAGCGTGCCCGGCTGGCTGGTCTGTGGGACTACAAGTAACAGCGTGCCCGGCTGGCTGGTCTGTGGGACTACAAGTAACAGCGTGCCCGGCTGGCTGGTCTGTGGGACTACAAGTAACAGCGTGCCCGGCTGGCTGGTCTGTGGGACTACAAGTAACAGATCAGCTACAGGAAACAAGTTACCCTTAAATATCTGCAGCTGATCTTTGGCTTTGGCAAGCCCGGGCTGAATGATGACTTCACCCTAGGGGCGGGTCCAGGACAGCCTGGGCTCACAGGAAGCGGTTTTAATGACTGGCGAAAACACTGGTGACATCTAGTGGCCAAAGAGAAGTACTGCCGGCGGACAGCTCTGGATAGAAGGTGAGTATTGCAGCAAAGGCTTTTTTTTTCTTTTATTAAACAAAAGTAAGAAAGGAAATGAAAAATAAATACTTTGAGTTCAACAAACAAACATAAATTGTGTATAAATGTCGGCCATATTCCTCTATGGAGCCGAATAAACGGTTATTCCGGATCTCTTCGCCTTTCCCCGGCGCTCCCCCCCCCCCCCCCCCCCCCCCCGGGAATACAACGTATGTTAAAGTAAAACCCCGCAGCTAATGCGCTTCGGGAATTTTTTTTTTTTTTTCTGCAAAGAGAATAGATGTGTCAGCCGGCTGACAGATCCGGGGCACAACAGTTTTAGTATGCAAAAAGGAATGAAGGCTGAGCTGAACGCTTTGCAGAAATCGCGGCGTCGGGGAGCCGCTCCTTCATCTGTCAGAGACACTCGGATGATTTATCCAATCTATTTTAAATCACAAGCCCCGTGATATGTACTTCTCAACACGTTATTTCTTTTTTTTTTTCTTTGCTGTTTTAGCGAGCGATTCCACGAATCAACACGGAGCGTTTGCGGTAAAAGATGTTTAAAGTGCCAACCGAGATGACAAAGTCTGTCGCTTCGTAGAAAAGGCGAAGAATGGCGCTGGTGGTTGTTTTTTTTTTTTTAAGGGCCGGTTCACAACATAGAAATGCAGTCCAGATGCGCTTCTGCATGCAAGTTTTTGGATGGAGAGAGGGGGGAGAGGGAGAGTGAGGATGGAGAGTGGGGGGGTGGAGAGTGAGGATGGAGAGTGGGAGGGAGAGGGAGAGTGAGGATGGAGAGTGGGAGGGAGAGGGAGAGTGAGGATGGAGAGTGGGAGGGAGAGGGAGAGTGAGGATGGAGAGTGGGGGGGTGGAGAGTGAGGATGGAGAGTGGGAGGGAGAGAGGGAGTGAGCATGGAGAGTGGGGGGGGAGTGAGGACGGAGAGTGGGGTGGGAGAGAGGGAGTGAGCATGGAGAGTGGGGGGGGAGAGAAGAGTGAGGATGGAGAGTGGGGGGGGGGGAGAGAGAATGAGGATGGGGGGGAGGAGGATGGAGGGGGGGAGAGAGTGAGGATGGGGGGTAGAGTGGGGGGTAGAGAGAGGGGAGGAGAGTGGGAGGAGAGGGGGGGGGGGAGAGAGTGAGGATGGAGAGTGGGGGGGGAGAGAGAGTGAGGATGGAGAGTGGGGGGGGGGGGAGAGAGAGTGAGGATGGAGAGTGGGGGGGAGAGAGAGAGGAGGATGGAGAGTGGGGGGGTAGAGAGAGTGAGGATGGAGAGTGGGGGGGGGGGAGGGAGGAGTGAGGATGGGAGTGGGGGGTAGAGAGAGTGAGGGTGGAGAGTGAGGGGGGAGAGAGTGAGGGTGGAGAGGGGGGGGGGGGGGGGGGGGGGGGGGGAGAGGAAGGGGAAAGAATGAGGGTGGAGAGCATGGGGAGGGGGGGGGAGTGATTGAGGGTGGATAGGGGAGGGGGGGGGGGGGAGAGTGGGGTGGAATGTGGGGGGGGGGGGGGGGAGGGGTGAGAGAGCATGAGGGGGAGGGAGGGGGGGAGGGGGGGAGAGAGAAAGTGAGGGTGAGAGTGGGGGGGGGGGAGGGGGGGGGGGGGGGGGGGGGGTGAGGGTGGAGAGAGAGTGAGGGGGAAAGGGGGGATGGGGGGGGGGGGAGAGAGAACGTGAGGGGGGGGGGGGAGGGAGAAAGTGAGGGTGGAGAGTGGGGGGGGGGGGTAAAAGGGAGCAGCAAACAAGAGACGCCCCATTGTTCGGGTTCACACCCCATTGTTCGGGATCACACCCCATTCTTCGGGTTCACACCCCATTGTTCGGGTTCACACCCCATTGTTCGGGTTCACACCCCATTGTTGGGGATCACACCCCATTGTTGGGGTTCACACCCCATTGTTCGGGATCACACCCCATTGTTCGGGATCACACCCCATTGTTCGGGTTCACACCCCATTGTTCGGGAATACACCCCATTGTTCGGGATCACACCCCATTGTTCGGGATCACACCCCATTGTTCGGGTTCACACCCCATTGTTTGGAATTACACCCCATTGTTGGGGATCACACCCCATTGTTGGGGATCACACCCCATTGTTGGGGATCGCACCTTGGTGTGTTTTCCAGGCCAGACATTGGGTGGCCATCTTGTCTTCATGCGACTTCATTCATATACAAATCCCTGGCGATCCGGCCTGAAAAACTCTTCTTGAGGTATTTTGTTTGCAAGTTCTCCCCCCCCCCCCCCCATATGGCCCCTCCCCCCCCCCATATGGCCCCTCCTGATTTATAACAATTGGACACAATGTAACGTTTTGTGTTTTCACGTTTAAAATGAATTTCAGGTAATTGTTTTTTTCTCTCAATGATCGCCATAAATCCTCGTTCCCTTTAAGGAAACAAAATGCGTCTCTCCAGCGTGTAGAAAACGAATGAATACGGAATCATCGCAAAGAAACAAAAAAAAACCTTCATTTTTGCTCCCCAAACCCAGGAAAACCAAAAAGCCAAAAATCAGAGCGACGATCAACAGACATCAGTGAGGATCCTTCCTGGAGACACATCCCCATTGGATGCTATTAGGAGGGATTAATTCGTTTTTGAACATATTCATTTGTGTAAATCATCGAATCCCCCGACGTTCACATCGCAGAAACAGATGAAATATTTATGTGGTCTTTTTTTTTTGTTTTCATACAAAGTTACGTCTTTGTCTATAGAATATGAAGTAGAGGAATAATTAGCCGTACGGATCTATGGCATTCACTGTATCCGCTCTCCCCGGACCCCGCATTCACTATATCCGCTCTCCGCGGACCCCGCATTCACTATATCTGCTCTCCCCGGACCCCGC